TTATGTCTTATTTATTCTCTACTCGGTGAGTGTCCAACGATGAATTGTATTGGAAGAACGAGAACACTAACAGCCATTAGGTGCTATTCGCGGCGTGCGCCAGCTTTCTAGTTCGCGAATTTTCTCCTTATGCCAAACATAGCGGTATACCGGAAATCAAAACTGTTCTTGGTGGGTTCGTTATCCGGCATTTCCTAGGCGGCTGGACGCTAGTCACAAAGACAATTGGCTTGGTAAGTAGCCTCGCAAGAAACATCTTCTAGATCGTTGGCTAACTTGGCCAGTGTCTTGCAGTCGCATCAGGTCTGTGGCTGGGCAAGGAAGGTCCTTTGGTACACGTAGCGTGCTGCTCGGCGAACCTCTTCATGAAGCTGTTTAGTAGCGTAAACGGCAACGAAGGTCAGTATTTCACGCTCGTTGTTTGTAACAATCCATTGATTCGAGTAGCACGGAAACGAGAGGTACTCTCGGCTGCGGCTGCAGCAGGTATTTCAGTAGCCTTTGGTGCACCTATAGGCGGTGTACTCTTCAGCCTTGAGCAGCTGTCGTACTACTTTCCAGACAAGACCATGTGGAGCAGTTTCGTATGCGCCATGGTAGCAGCCGTCACCCTACAAGCATGCAACCCCTTCCGCACCGGCAAGCTTGTCTTATATCAGGTCACTTATCATAGTGGATGGCATGACTTTGAACTCTTGCCCTTTGTCTTTCTCGGAATCTTGGGTGGTCTTTTTGGAGGCTTGTTCATCAAGCTTAACATGGGCGTTGCTGAGTGGCGAAAGAACAGACAATACCTCAAAGGCCCTGTGAGGGAAGTTGTCATTGTGGCATTTGTGACGGCCCTGATCAACTTTCCTATCAAGTTCATGCGCGCCCAAGCATCCGAACTAGTGCATATTCTTTTCGCTGAATGTGCTGATCTCAGCGAAGATACCCTGGGCCTCTGCAAATCTGGTAAAGCAAACACTGGAGTAATTGCTTTGTTACTGGTGTCTTCGGGATTGGGCATCATACTAGCAGGCTTCACATTCGGTCTACAGATTCCAGCGGGTATCATCCTTCCTTCCATGGCTATCGGCGGTCTCTTTGGTCGTGCAGTGGGACTATCCATGCAAGTGGTCCAGGCTGCTTGGCCGTCCCTCTTCTTCTTCAGCTCCTGCGAACCTGATGTACCTTGCGTGACCCCAGGCACGTACGCTATTATTGGAGCAGCATCAGCGCTTGCGGGTACCACACGCATGACAGTTTCGATTGTGGTCATCATGTTTGAGCTAACCGGGGCTCTCACGTATGTTCTACCCATTATGATTGCAGTCATGATCAGTAAATGGATTGGTGACGCCATCTCCCCACGGGGCATCTATGAGTCCTGGATACACTTTAAAGGGTACCCTTTCCTCGATAATCGCGACGACAACGGCAGCTCGATTCCAGATGTCAGCGCAAGCCATGTCATGACACGCACCGAAGACCTGACGGCTATAACAGCGACCGGACACACCATTGGATCGCTGCGTGACCTTTTGTCTCAACATCGGTTCCGTGGGTTTCCCGTGATTGACAATAGCCGTGATGCCCTTTTGCTGGGGTACATATCAAGAACTGAGCTACAATACGCGCTCCAGACTGCCCTGACGCCTCCTCGGAACCTAGCGCCTGAAACGGAAGCGTACTTTGCCCACCAGCCCCTCTCCGACCCCACGACTTCCCTCGATCTCCGGCCGTGGATGGACCAAACACCCATGACGCTTAATGCCAAAGCCAGCTTTCAGCTTACGGTATCCATGTTCCAGAAGCTAGGGTTGCGGTATGTCTTGTTCACTGATCGAGGCACACTCAAGGGGTTGCTTACCAAGAAGGATGTCTGGTACGTCATGGAAGGCATGGAGGAAGAGCGTGAAGACGATGGTAGAGGGGGGCTGGGAGAGCAGAGACAAGAGGATGAAGAGGACGAGCAGAGTGACCTACTGGGCACGGCGGAGGAGCATGCAGGCTTGATTGGTGGCCATGGTAGATAGGGAGCAGAAACTGAGACTTGACACCGTGTCTAGCACCTTCTATGCCGGTGGGCTTGAAGAAAAAAAGGCCTCGATCTCTGTTGGATCGTCATGTGATGATATCACCGCATGTCGCGCATGCGGTGTAGGCCACGCCGGTGGGGGATTGCTCGTTTGGTAGGTCGGCCGTTGATCAGGGCCACGGGGAGGGCTTCCCGCCAGGAACACAAGGCAAATCAACAAGGCGAAGCTCTCACCGACAGTGACGCTACGACCAAAGCATACTGTCGGCCTCGGACTTGGTGCGACGTGTCGTCCGGCTCTTGAGGAGTGCAGAGAGTGGAGTGGATACAATGCAGTGCCAGCTGCATGGCGTGGTCTGTGCAGCGCAAGACTCAACCGGCCAATCACAGGCGAGAGGGTGGGCGTGGCCGTAAAGGGCTTAGCGCCAGGCGGTGCCGCGGCTTGCTGCTTGGACCTGCATCCACCCGCCCTTAACATCCGGCCTCGCCCATTCAGACTCCAGAGCCTTCTCTCCCCGCCGCCCCGTCTGTGACTCGGCCTTTGTTTGTCCCAGTAACCCCCCCGATCCCCTTACACTCGTTTCACTGTCAAAGAACAAACACAGACACCCGCCATGGATGCCTGGATCGTCTAACGTCAAAGAAGCACGGAGCGGCTATGACTAGGCCTTGGCATACGTCGCGATCCGGCAGACGACGTGAATCGCGCTGAAAGAACACCAACGCTTGCACGCGATAGCGGCGCCTCGCCAATCATCTTTGCCAGATCTACACCATAATAACTCTTCCCACCACGCCGACACCATGGCCCACGCGACCGACCCGGAGCGCAGGAGCAGAAGGAAGCATTCGCATTCGTCATCCAGGGTTTCGAGGACGCGCTCCTCGTCCAAGAAGCCACATGTTTCGCCTCCTGTGCCAGACATGTATTTGCAAGACCATGCACCACCGGTCCAGGCTACCCCTTACAGCCAGCCCCAGTTTATACCACACCAGCGCTCCTATTCCCAATCTACTGTCACATCACCGCCATTATACCACAGCTATTCTGCGAGCCCACCTGAGCGCTCAGATTACGGTCAGATGCCTGGAGCTTATCCTCAAGATGTGCCGCGGTATTGGTCTCCTCCACCACAGCCTGTTCAGCCTTATGCCAGCCAATCCACCATCCGCTTTGCTTCCCCACCACCTCCTGAGTCACGCGGTCAGGGCCCTTTCCAGCAGCAATGGGATAGTCTTGACCGCATGGCTACGAGGTCTTTTACCAATCTGCGTGACACAGCTGGAAAGGGGATGAACAAGCTGACTACCAACTGCATCGAGCGGCCCACGGCTGCTGTCGCCACCAAGAGCATGCAGACTTTGTGCCGTGGCGCAGCGTTATACGACGTCATTACCTCAAAGTTCGACTCTGTTATTACTAGCATCGATGACGAACAGTTCAGTGGTAAAGAGCAAGATTTGATGATGGAGTTTGGTGACCAGATGGACTATGAGGAGCCCGTGAAAACGAGCCCGCCGCTTGGCGGAGTTAGACGTCATGGTCGCGAAGAGGTTTCTCCCAAGCCTGGTAGTGACAAAGGATCGAACCATTTCTCAAAAGTATGGCTCTACTCCAACTCACGCCTGCCACCTCATTTGCCCCCTTTTAAAGTGTATCTCCCGACGTATCCCCTGTTGTGCTTGGCGGCAACGTACTCTGAAAAGGCGTACCTACCTCCAGGTACCAAGAAGAGTTCTGAAATGGAAACACACATCCCTGCCGACTGGCGTAGCGGCACCAAAGCCATGGTCCTAAAATCTATACCCGTCGAAGAGCTGAACACGATCGTGTTTGCTATTCGCGGAAGTCAGACATTCATGGACTGGGCTGTCAACTACAATTCTGCGCCAAGTAGTCCGGCCAAGTTTCTCGATGACCCGGGAAATTTGTGCCATGCAGGCTTCCTCTATGTCGCAAAAAAGATGATCAAGCCAGTCGCAGAGCGGCTCAAGGTCTTGCTACAAGAAAATCCTGCGCGCTCTAATTGTAGTCTGCTCATCACCGGCCACTCCGCAGGCGGAGCGGTCGCCGCGTTGCTATACGCGCACATGATGAGCACCAAAGTTGAGTCTGAACTCAGCTACCTCACCAGCTTCTTCAAGCGGGTGCACTGCATCACTTTTGGTGCACCGCCAGTCAGTCTGCGGCCGCTCAAGAAGCCCGAAGACAAGCGGCACCGAAAGAGTCTTTTCTACAGCTTCATCAACGAAGGTGACCCTATACCGAGAGCTGATAAGAGCGTACTCCGAAGCCTGCTCAAGCTGTATGCCAGTCCTGCACCCACCACGGCCTCAAGTTCTGGCTCTGCAACGGCGTCGTCGTCCAGAACCAATGTCTCGCGCTCACATTCTTCATCCCCGCCAAAATCCAGATCCAAACACGGCTTTGCCGCACGGCTCTCACGGGGATCGAAAACCTCGTTGGAAACAAACAACACCCAATCATCTTCGTCTTCTTCGCTGCCCGCTTGGCCAATCCCGCCCTGTACCTTGTCGCCTGCCGGCCGACTCGTCGTATTACGGCAGAGAGTAGGGACCAGGAGCGAGGACGACGTCGAAGCCGTGACGGTGGACGATGAGATGCTGAGGAAAGTTGTATATGGAGATTTGCTCAAGCATCAGATGGCGACTTATAAGAAGCGCATCGAGGGTGTTGCTGTTCGCGCCGTTACTGCAAACGGTGTTTGATGAGACTGCCAAAAACTTTTCTTGACGAATTTGTATGCCTCACGAATTACATGATTACGAATCTCTTTAGAAAAGAAAATGAAAAAAATATATAACCGAATCTACTCGTCTCAAATCGGCTGTTGAACAGGATAAGTGATCAGAGTCATAAGTGCTGTATCTAATTCTCCTCGTGCGCAAAATGCAAATTGGCCATTCTCCTTATGCAACAATAATGTCTCCAAAAATGAAATGAGTCCTTTTTTTTTGCAATATCAACTTTCATGATGGCAGATGTATTCATCATCAAGGAAGAAAAAAACCAATAGTGGTATACTCTATGTATAACTATCCCTAGCCTGAAAAAGACGCCTCTTCTGCAGCATCTACGCCATGATCAAATCATACGCCGCCTTGGTACTCATGAGCACCAAAACATAGTGGGCTATAATACCCGCAGCACCATAATACCTGCCCGTACCGCCCTGCTCGGCACTCCTCGTATATCCCACCGAATAAAAGATACGATTAACACTCCACGTGAGGCCGAGCGCGGCCGTCGCCGATGGGAATCTCAGACCCGAAATGAGCATAGCGGCGAGGGCGGTAGGATGGCTCTCGCCAAAGTTTTGGTGAGCGCGCTGAGCGGCGTTGAAGGCGAGCATGGCGGATTTGGAGGCCGGAGCGGCCGTCTGGACTTGTTCGTACGACGCGTATTCGAAGGGGTACGGGATCTTGGCTGCTTTGCGGAAGGAGCCTACGCGCGCGCCGAGCCAGATGCCGATGAAGAAGGTGGAGACGGCGGCACCGAGGACGTAGCTAGAAAGGGAGGGAGGGTTAGCTATGCGAGAGGCGAGGGTTGATGTGCTTGTTGTTCTGTGGGAGAGGTGGGGGGGACACAAAAGGAGGGGGAGGGTGCAATTGAATGATGAATACGTACCCGTACTCGTCTGGAACCTGGATAATGGCCATGATGTTCGTTGTTGTTGTTGTTGGTGTGTTTCTTTACGTTCGTCTGTTCGTTACGTAGTGGGGTTGCCCTTTCCAAATCTTGTAAGGAGAAAAAAAAAGTCGTGGACAATCAATGTTGGGTAACCAATTCGGCCCTTCTTATATGTCTCTTTTAATTGTTTTTTTGAAGGCGCTGGATCGATATAGAAATCGGTGGAATGTGGTAGCCTTGGGAGAGAAAGGGGGGGGGGAAGCTTCCACCTGTTCAGTAGTCGTGTTACGCGGACCAGTTTCAGCGGGGCTGCGGGCGCTGGTTTCCTCCGACTCCATGCTAAACAGCAAGGCTTCCATCATGCGTTCGGTGCAACATTCTTGCCGATTGCTACGATACAGCTATGCTGCAGAAACAAAGATTGTAGTACAGTAGTCAGCATGGTTGGGATTACGCGTTGTTCACAGTGTCGTGTGCTATGTGGCTGGTCGAGTAGGGTGTGTACGCCGTGCCCGTCTGACAGAAAGTGTTCCCATCGCGAATTCAGGCGGCCAAGGAGAGTCGAGGGTTGCAAGATTTTGTGTCACCAAACAATTTCCTTACGTCATCAAATCGCTTTGTTGTAAGGAAACGATTTGTTCAGGGTGTTCAAGGATGTCTCGTAGAAGGAAGTGGTTGGTGTAGGTGAATAGTCGGTGATTTGAGTAGAAAAAACGAACAAGAAAGATGGCGACGTTTAGGATTAAATCGAGTTCAGACAAGACTCGGCATTTACTGCGGGTGCATATCGTGATTCCTCGGCTCTATGACGAAAGCTTTGCTGACCGGATCCGAACATGGGGTCGATAACGTGATGAAATTAGAACATATAAATCCGGACTTGTTCTCTTTGGTATGTCATACATGTATTCATTCGAACTAAGCTAATTCTCTACCCTGCTTGACCCATCAGGCTTATTCTCTTCTCGAACGGCACGTGGAGCTGTTATATAGTATGATCTATGTGTCAAGCTTTCACGACAGATGACCCCATCTTCTCATCCTCGACTACCTGTGATTCCTGACTCTTCTAGTACCTCCATAGTGCCTTGGAAATCCTGTCGCTCGTCAGATTTCATTCCACCTGGGATACTGCTCACCCAGGAAATTGTACTTACGGGTAGTGCAGCAAGCAAACAGATCAAATTCCCTGTAACAAAGATGGCCCATGAAGCAGACGCCTGAACAACTAGCAGTTTCATGTACCTCCATGGCGTCTCCCTCAAAACAGGAGTGTACATATGAATAACAGCGATTTGCAAAGCGAGGATCCTCTGCGCAATACATCGACACGTGGAAAGAAGCTTCAAAAAGCCTGGACTGTAGTTGGTGTCTTGGGCCCGACACTTGGACGACTTGACGTGTAGCTGAAAGCCCCGAATGATACATAGAAGAATGACGGCGGCTACAATGTTTAGCGGAGTGTGGTAGTGAAGTACAGCAGAGCATTCAACCCCCCTGTCGAGCAAGCGGCTACACCGTCGCTTCATATTCTTATTCGTCATGGAAGTAGACGCTATCCACCGTGCTACATGTACGATGCTCTGCGAAGTCATGTACTGCACACAGACGAAGGGTGTAGAATGGAATGTGGCTTTGGCAGCGACAATCATAGGGGAGCCACTGGTGTCGCGAACAAGTTTGTCTAGGAGTTTAGTTGCTGGATCCCCAACTGTACCATCAACGACCTGGTAATGGCATGTCTGGCGGGTTCGTCGGCTGATCCAGAAGCGAAACGCGTCGTAGATTACAGAGAAAATGGCGATAAGGAGTAGAGAGAGAAGGGCATTGTTGATGATTGCAGTAGACTGCAGTGTGATGTACAAGGCAGGCTCTGTGACAAGGCTGGTTAGTTGCAAACTGCGAGGAAAAGCGTATAGACGTACTTTCTTGCCATAGATCAATCCACACAGATCGCGCGGGAGAATAATCCTGAGCCATGTCGATTGTGAGAAGCAGGAAGGAACAGGGTGGATAGAGATCGTGGAGGATGTAGGGTTGGGTAAATGGACGATTTTTTCAATGTTTGTTTGGTAAAGTGAAGCAGAGGCCGATTACCGACTAGCAACTTCGCACCTTCTCTTCTTTACACGCAATCGCAACAAGTGCCTCGTTGATTGCGGACTGAGTCCTAACTCCTTTCACTTTCACCAGTCTATTCTCGCTCATACATGCAAAAGTGAAACCTGACCCCCTGCTCCTCAATCCCACCGTCCTCAACATTCTCACCCGTAAACTCTTGAATCTCACCCCTATTCGCATTCCTCCATATTGTCGTCTCATCCAAATTAATAGGAAAGAAAGTATCGCACTCAAACTCCTTCTCGATCTTAGTAAGCAACACACGCTTCGTCTGTGGAAGTTCAAGCGCCGTTCGGTATATGCTAGCCCCACCAATAACAAAGATTCTATCAATGTCGAGGTCCGTAGATGGTAAGTTGCTCTTGTCCTCGCGCTCAAGCTGAGCAATGGCGTCGAGGATACCTGAGCACACAAGTGGGCCTTCAACTTCTGTCTTCTTGTCTAGCTTGCTTGCAAATTCTTCTGGCTTCGAGGTGATGACTATGTTGAGGCGATCCTTGAGAGGCCGGAATTTGGGCGGTATGCTTTCCCATGTCTTACGACCCATGAGTACAGCATTTATTTTCTTGCGCCCTTCCGCTAGGGTAGAGGGCGATGTACGCTTCGTCACTCGTGCGAAGAAGCCCATTTCCTTTTTAAGTTGAGGCCATGGCAAGACCCTGTCCTTTCCTATGCCGAGGTTTGGCGTGGCAGCAAGTATCAAAGTGAGTGTTGGAGGTTTAGGTGGCATGGAAGATGATGCGTCTTGTTCCTGGATGGCTAAATTTTTCTTTGGTGTAGTCGATGTATCCAGATTGATGAAAGGATGCTCGTTAGACATTGCGTGGCGTCTTCTAGAACCGATACGACCCTAGAATATCAGAGACAATTGAATATAGCGTCGAGACGAAAAGTAAGCGGAAGACGTGGACGTGGCTCGTCATATGGATGTGAAAGGCATGCGGGGCCATACGCGCTAAGTGACGCGAAGGAACGTGACTTTCAACATCAGTCCTACCTGCCAAACATACTACCATCTAGACAGAAACAGAACCATAGAAGAACATGAAATGACTTCGATGACGAGTTGGCATTCCCGAACGAAGGCTACGAGATATAAAATACACAGGCCGGATGATGCCCTTGATCATGCACAGAAAACCCAAACACCCAAACGCACGGTGATAGGCCCGACACACAGCGCTGCATCATCCCATCATGCCACAGTCCCAACCTGTCTCGTTCGCCGGGGAGGGCGACGATACTGAACGCCTAGATAATTACACCATTCGCAATGCCGCTACCCTATTGAAACACATTTGCAAGAAGAAGCCAAAAAATCCCGTACGCACCCATTTCATACAACGTCATCTGTCTCCTCGAGTTTCCAAATGGGTATCTTTTTAGGATTGTTTAAAGCGCATCGCGCTGCAGAAACGAGAAGCCTTTCTTTCTCTCTTGCAGCTCATCTTTATCTGAGAGCGGGGTCGTGCGATACTATTCGCCCGCGCCTCCCTCACCACTACTTTTTAGTGGAATGGACAACGAGATCTTCTTTGGTGTTCCACCACCATCCTTGCCGGCATTGACATTGGGTGACTTCCGGCGCAAGTTCCGCAGGCTTCCTGAGCTTGCGTTGCTGGACGTTGAAGCACGACGCTTTGGACCTGCAGATGTGGAGATGCTTGCAAGAAGCTCATCCTCCTCATCCTCTTCTCTACGCCGCTTTTCGGATATACGTTCCGGCGGCGATCCCGCAGAAGCAGAGTTTGGTGATGGAGTGGTTTCTGGGGTTTGCGTCTCTGCCGAAATCTTGTGCACAGAGGCTGGCAGCCCGGTAGCGAGATCATCCATGTCGGCATCGTCTGCGTCGTCATCCGGGTAATTAACGAGGGGGCGCACCGGCGATGCTCCATTGAGGGCGAGTTTGCCAGTGGTGGCAAGTTGCTCATCCTCATCGTCCGATGTGTTGAAGTATGCCTCTTCGTCCGCATCCACGTCCTTCAAGCCTTGACCCCACTTGCCACCATTGACATTTGCTGGGTGTCGCGCAGGTGTGTCACTGTCCACGCTTGTAAATGAATTATCAAGCTCCTGAGTAGTGACTGGCTCATGGTTCTGGTCGTATTTGAGGATCAGATTTTGGAATGTGTCAACATAGGTCACAGCCTGTAATTTATCCCGGTACGTCTCGACCAGATGCTGAACAATCATCTTGATATTCTCGCGCCTGATGAATTCAAACAGCTCCAGGCATGCCGAGTTGAGGAGATTGTCGCGAGGCATTGTATCAAACAAGATCTGCAAGATGGGCTCGAAAAGGTGGTGTTGGATGATTTGGCGGTTATGTGTTTCGTCGTGGAAACCGAGAACAGTGCGGAAGTACTTGAGCGCAGCTGGGAAAAGTCAGTAAATAAAATGGAAACATTATGGAAGATACTTACTGAGTTTCAAATGCTTCTCCGGACAGGCCATTAGTTGAGCTACCCGCATTGCAAGGCCTTCGGATAGAATGAAGTATTTGCTGCGGAAAGAATGTTGACGGATGAAGAAACAAAGAACTTCGACAAGGTGGGCGTATAATGACACTTCTTGCATTGATAGATCTTCCACTGAACAACGTTAGCCATCTTCACTTACAAGGGCCAAGAATTCAACTTACTCGACTCGCGGCCTTCGAGATCTTTGAGAGGCTGGAAGAGTTTCCGTGCGGACTCGTCGTAGAAGTTTTGAATAAAAGAGTCAGTTTGCGGTATGGATGGAAGTTGACCCCTCATTTTAGCAAGGAAGTCGCTATTAGTTCGCCCAAGCGCTTCTATCGACGCCGAGTTGGCATTGGGGTCCAGCAGAATCTTAATCGCATCTGCCATCTGTGCCTTGACCCCCAAGTCCACCTCAATTAGAAGCAACTCGATCAGGGTATCGGTAAGTGGCTTGGTCTTTTCTTGAATGGCCTTGAAAATGTAGCTGCGCACCATGAGAGCATCGTGGTCGATCAAAGACACAAGTATGTCTGTTCCTGCTACTCGGACAGAAGCATCTTGGTGTTTGAGAGCAAACTGTATGACTTCCAGCAGACCGCCACTGATGAAGTTTTGATAGAGCTGCGCCCTGACGTTTGCCTGCAAGCTCTTTGCTATGGCACAGCACTGCTGGATGAATAAGACTGCGTCCTTTTTTCTCGAGAGATTCTGCTCCTTGGGCGAGAAGATGCCAAAAAGTTCTTTCAAAAAGGGGCCGTTTGCTTGAAGGTGCTGGACAATGTCGACTTGGTGGAAGAAGATGAGGGAGTTGAGAACGCTAAAGGTGGGGTCGTCGAGGATGCGCGCGAGAACCACGTCTTTGAGATACTGAAGGCGATAGGTGTAGTGGATTTTCCGCTTGATATTCTCGTCTTCAATCTTGACAACCTCTTTGAATTTGGATTCGTCGTCGAGATATTGTCGGTGGTTGGCTTTGTGCAAGGGAAAATCCGGGTCGTCTGCAAGAAGTCAGCAAGCATCGAGGCAAGATTGTACGTGGCGAAACTGACATTCTAGGGCTCCAACAACTCCCAGAACAACGGGGTCTGTCACGACGTATTCGATAATGGCCGTGTCGTTGAGTAGGATAAGCATCTTCATGATGCTGCATAGCCGGTGGAGATCCGATACGCTTTCGAGGTCTTCGGCCATGTCGACGAGCGGAATCAGTTTCGGTATGTAATCCTGAGCAAGGATGAATTTGGCGAGGGCTTCTCGCCCCCCTGGAGTAGAGTTTGCGGCGCGCATGTGGTTTTCAATCTCGTGAAGGTTGCCGAGGTCTGGGTTTGGGAGAAGTATGGGACTAATATGGTCCAAATCGTCTGAGAGACCATCGTCTGGGTCAGTATTAGCCTGCTTGAAGCTATGTGGATGGGCCCAACGTACCCTGCGCTAAAGCCTGCAATCGCGATTGCACTTCGTTGACAAAGTCCCTGTATGGAATCAGCGCGGTGCTCAATTGACCGAGGCAGTGGATGCCTACCATATGCTGGCACAGCCCTCGGGCTCCTGAAAGCTGAGGGCCATGTCGGTGCCATTTTGCTCAGTCCATACGATGAGGGTATCTGTGGCGGATTAGCTGCCGGCTTGTGTTTGGGTAGCGCATGGCTGGCGCATACCTTGCTGTTTCTGATAGCCATCATCCTTAGAGATGCGCGTTTCGAGGAGCTGTCGCGACTGGTCGTCCTCGGACAGGACTACAATCCTTGCTTCCTCCTGCTGTCAAGTGATGCCAGTTAGCATGCGTGAGTGGCAGGCATGGGCATGAAGGTGGGCATGGACATGGACACACTGAGCGCGGGCGCGGGCGCAATGGGGCTATACGTGCAGCGGGGAAGTGTTGTGGCGAGGGTGGGGAGACGTACATTTGCTACAACGCCCTTGCAGAAGCCGGTGCCTCTGTCGAACCAGTCATTGTTCTTGAGCTCGTAGACTTTGACGCGCTTCCGTTCGCTCGCCGGTGGTGGTGCGACGGTTGCCATAGCCGGGGGCGGCGTGTCGACAGTCTCCGGCTAGGGCAGAGGACCCTCCGGAGGGACGGCGCGCTGTCGCGATGGCTTGCGCAGGAAGGCGGGGGAGCGTCGGCGATGGGGGGAGATGGGGGGGCGGCGTGGTGTTGTGGTGGATGCGGTGCTGGCAGATGCGGGTTAGGAGGCTCGGCGGTGCTTGTTGGCTGGCGCAGCGGCGCGGCGGCGGGGACGCGACAGACGAACACTCGACGATGGGCCAGCGTGGGCGCGCAACAGTAAGCCGGGGAGTCTGCGATGGCGGCGTGACAGGCAAGGTGATCAGCCTCGGACACTTTTGCAGGCGCGTCGTGGGTCGCAAAGTGGAAGCGGGAGAGCACAGGGCCGGGCTTGGGCACAGTGCATGCACTAAGATAAGAGCCTAGACCCGAGTGGCGGCACCAGAGCCTCAACACCACGCTGAACCCTGGGGATAGCGGCGATGGCTGCGTGGGCGAGGGCACGAGGCGATGGCGGGTTGCGGGGGTGCTTTTGCAGCTGTCCGGCGCTGCGAGCGTGTGGAATGAGTGCAGCTGTCGCCGCCCATGGCCAGATGCGCGCTCGTCTCACTGACGCAATCCCCTTGGCGCTGCTGCTCATCAACACCACGCAGTGCCCGCTCATCTCGTTGTGTCTAGCACCTGGCCTGTCTATCTACACGCACATGTATGCTGGTGCGCATGGCATGGACAGCGCCCGCCCGTCGCTTGTCACGTTGCTGCGTCCACTCGCCCACGCACCCTGCCGGCCAAAAGATGCAGTCTGGGTGTGGTCCGCTCACTCCGCTCCTCATGCCCATTCACTCTCGCGCCATGGCAACTCACCACCATCCAATACGCCCACGCCGCCCCCCGATTCCCCTGGGAGAATGTCATGACGTCCCTGGCCAAGCCACGCGATTGACTTGCGCGGCCCGCTCTGCATGGACGCAAGGCTGCAAGGCTGCGTGCGGTCCCAGTCGAGATGCAGGTATTATACGTCGTACACATCTATTTCGATAGTGCTGCTAATATCGCCGCAAAAGCACCATCATCGCCATCACCCATCAGACATTATCCAAAACACCCTCGACGGGCTGGAGCCGCCTGGCCTGCTGCACTGGCAAAAGCACGTATGCATCCATGTATTGGCAAGCCCTTCACCTAGTACACATGCACCCAAGTACATACTTACGTAGCCATGTACACATGCAGGAGGCACAGTCTAAGTATACACGGCGACTCGTCACCAAAAGCATGCCATTGCCACCAAGTACCCCGGCTGGCGTCATGGCGAGCCCGGCCTTTAGCCAAACGCTTCCCCATACATGCTACCACTACGTACATGCGCCATCTCAATCTCGCCAGCCTCTGGACGATTAGGGCAAGCCTGACCACGACGATACTATGAATTCTGTTCTTTTTGGTCCGTCTGAAGCCTCGTCGTGCAGAATTAGGCCGTCGCTGCGTGGGGGCAGCCAATGGACAGGCGTGCAGCATGGCGCCACACGCCCGCGGCCATTGCCGCATTCGTTTTCGCATGGCTGGTGGTGCGGCCAGATTCATTTCCCTTGTATTTGCGAGCTGAGCTGTGCTGGCCGGGCGCCAAGCAGTCGTGGGTCGTTATCTTCGCTTGCTAACTCTATTCAGCCCTCCAGCCTGCGCCTTGAGCATCGGTGCCGTATCTGAAGCGCTAGAAGCAGCGGCGCATGGGCGCAAACCCAGTTACCACGCTATCCAAGCGCGACCCGCCCGTCTGTTGAGACATGGTTATCCACTATAGATTAGACGGCCTGCTCCCTTGAGCTGCCTCTTACAGTCCCGCCTGCTCCGGTTCTGCACCCATCTTGCACCGTACCATCTTGCCCATAGCAATAATAATGTCGAATCTGTCCGTCTTGACACAACTACAAAGCACATCTACCGAGCCCTTTCCCCCCGTCGCCCTCACAAAGCCACCCAGACCAGTCTCTGCGCCTTGTCCAAACTTTTCAAAGCCCATAGCAGCCGACCCTCTACCGACAACCGATTCAAAGTCCATCAACGCCGATCAAGCCCAGGCTGGACTCAAAGCTCACCGGAGATCTGTCGGCGCCCATGAAGTCCAGGCTAGAATCCAAGCTGCAAGAAGGAGCTTGACTGCTGCACAACCCCCGACTGAAGCTTTTCAACGCAAACTCGATCAGTCTTCCGACCTCATCCACCCAGCCTTGCGCGCCAGGAGTGGGGTGACGCCAAATAGCGACCGTGCTCGTAGCCTCAAGTCGAGAAGCAAGCAAGATCAATCCATCGATGCAGTCATACGCCGCTTGTCAGCCGAAATCGATAGCGGACAGCTGAACCTTGCAAGAGATGTGCCTCCAGTGCCTGCGTTGCCTGCATTTCACTCGCCTGCATCCGGTCGTCCGCGATCATATCAACCCGCAAGTAGCAGGTCGTCTGTGACGAAGAGGCGAAGCCCGCTTTCGATTGTGTCATCTGCAGACGGTATGTAGGGCAAACTCAATTCTACGCGTCATGTTGGACTAACAGTTGCAGACTCCGAGGAAACTCCATGCCATACCTCTGAACAGACGTCGACCCAAACATCCAGGCAGACATCTAGGCGAGCCTCTACCTCAGCCTCTTCTCGTATGCACCCTATCCCCGCCACTCTATGAAATTACTCACAAGCCACACAGAAACCTCCAAATCCGACGACAGTAACGACCTAGATGATGACGACAAGCCCGCAAAGATCCGAGTGATCAGTCTGGAATCCCACAAAGCAGGCCACGTCCAACAGCAACAACAACCCGCACGTCAGCCCTCGCCTTCATCATCACAACCAACCATCTCTAATTCCAAACCCCAACGGGTCAAGAGCCGCAGCCCGTGGCATACAATTTCGCGACGACGAATACTTTGCTTTGTTTAACGACTACCCATCTTGCGCCATGTTTTTGGTTTTTTTATGTCCATGTACATACAAGGCCGCGCGGGCCACAATCATATATTTCCTTGAGTATTTCTTTTTTACGGTTATAGCGGCGCGCAGTATACTCGGCCTCGTTTTGGTGCTGATTTGGTTTCTGCATCATGAGCCTGTTGGATTTGAGCGACTACAAGGGGGCATAAATAGCGCGGGAGTTTTGGCGTTTTCCTACGTGTTCCAGTAGGCGAGATTACTGAGCGTTTTCTGTCGCCAATGCTGACGACTAGTTACACACACACACACATACATGGATAGATAGCACGCACGCAACAATGCACATGTCGGCAATTGCACAACCCGCATTGCCTCGCTTAACACAGTTGTTCTCGACATAAGCCTTGATAGCGCTTTCGGAGTATTGGCGCAGCTGAGGGCACATAATCAGTAAGTACGTGTCCCCTGTTCTGGAATCTGGGCTTGCTAGATCCATGCAAGCCACCAGCCACACACGGGACGCCTTCCGAACCCGGCCACAATAATAGCATGCTGCCAAATCCAGCCCGACGATGGGCCAATTGTAGCCAAAGGCACCATCACAGCCGCCTCGAAGAGGTTAGAGGTTGGTGTCAGGGTACGGCGTTCCCGAGCCCATCGCGAGGCCAGGCAGCCACGCAAAGGAGAACGTGCGCACGGCTGCAGCTTGCTAAGTCTGAGTATCCGAGTGCGTCTCCAGCTGGGCCTGGAAAGGGCACCTTTGAAACTAAAGCATCGGCAGTTGGAGCCAAATGCCGAAACGTTTTCCAGATGGTCTGCCGGCGAAAAAGCACACAAAAAGTCCCTTGGGCGCTGGGCGTGTGAACGGAAACTGGTTCGGGGTCTCTGACGGCGGTGCACGCACAACACAGACTAGCAAATGGTGCCGACTGCGCGACCCGCTGGAACGTCCGTTGAACGTCCGCAACAACGTTTGGCCTAGCGGTAAAAATCCCCTTTCCGCGAGCTCTTGATGCGCCCAGCAAATGGGTACGTGTGACACTTTGAGAGTTGACTCGCTAGTGATTTGTCAAACTCTCCACCATTTTGGCGAGAACACATGAGCGGGACTACTGGCAGACACACAGCGCCATGTTCCCTATGACCTGGTCTAGAGCACTATAGCCGGGGATTAAACTGGCTAATTCTACGGTCCCAGATTCGCGACACATCAGGAACCCTGTAGCACGTCATGTCCAGGAACAAGTCAGTAGTGCATTACGACAACCGGATTTGACCAGAATGCGACTAAGACTGCTACTATGGCAAATCTAGGAAGCCATCAATTGGGATCATTTCACCCATCTCGCGCCCTGTGGACTTAGTTAAGCACAGTAGGAAACTAGGACATGCCGCTGATACGAAAGCGAATCCAGCCGCCCCCACAGCTGCATGGTCAGCCCTGCCCGCCGCACGAGCCATGGAAATCCCGAATGCTTGGTGAGATTCACCACAGCGAAATGCACAGACCGCCTCTGGGCCTGCTATCGATAAGGCCACAAGCTTGGCAACCGTGACTGACTGGAGCTCCTTCCTGTCATACTCCGCACTCCATCCTTACGTCTCTCGTGTCCCAATACGCCACCATGAACCCGTCAGAGCGCACAAAAGAGGCGCTTCTCGGTATGTTTCCCCAGCCTTTCCCCGCACAAACGCGGGGCTAGTGTAGCAACACAACCCGGCCGCCCAAGTCATCATGTCCCCCAATACCTTGATTCGAGCTCTTGCTGATGCTACCTCAGCAAAGACAGAAGCATTGTGCAAGTCCATCGTGGACAACCGTAGAGATGATCCCTGGGGTGGTGATGGCTATCTATCTACTATACTCCGGACTGTCAAGATGCACGAAGCCACTGAATACTCGTCGGTACTAAATAAGACCGAGTATGAGCCTGCGCTGGATTACTCAACCTCGGCACATAAGGAACTGCTGATCAAAGAACAAAGCGCTGCATTGGTAGGTCATGTGCGCGTGATTTTGCTCAAAAAACAATGTCCACAGCTGCCACCCTTGCAAACAGTGCAAACAATGCTCTGCTAACACCCACGAATAGATCAAGACCGCTCAGGACATCTCGACCCTCATTCGTGATTTACAGGAACTCTGGCTCTTTGGTGGCCTTGATACCCTCGCCGATCCTGCAGATGAAGAAGCAAACCGCCAGAAAGCTTTAGCGGTTGCGGAGATGATTGAGACTTTAGCAAAACAGGGGCCTGCTAACGTGCGAAAGAACACCGCCGGCATAGTCAAAGAGGAATCAAACAGCAGAGGAGACTCATGAACGTGGTTGCATTTAATACTCGATTCGGTGACTCGTCAAAGCCAACGTACGATGAGAAGGCGATTTGAGAACTCGCTCTACACTCCCAAAAAAACACTTGGATTGCGGAGTTACAGAGTCAACACGTAGCCGCATGACTGTGTGCCTTGTGGCGCAGGTTGTCCAACTAAAACGGCAGTCGAAGCAGCTGCCATTACGAATGACCTATGGGCATAGATGGGTAGTATGGTGAACGGAGTGACCTCCCAGTGGCCAAGCTCATGTTACCTAACAATAGTCCGCCACCATTGAGTTAGGCATACCGTCATTCTGTCGAGGTAAAATAGTCATCTTGAAGGGCATGGTGATTGTTCTTGATATTGGAATGCAAATCTTCTGCCCAGCGCCTTTGAAAGGTGATTGAATCAGATGAGATGCTGACCCATGGACTGCAAGTCTACCGTGCATTCCTTCACGAAATCCCAAGCTTTTGAAACAAATTCTGTGCGTGTGTATTTCCCAAGCCCTATACTATGGCTCTGACATCATATACACCTGTTAGCCAGGCCGTTGGGAAGAGTTTAAAGTTCTCGGGCCCAGGCTAGTAAAGGTGTGTGTCAGGCTTTGCCCCTCTTCTTTCCCCCTTTAGACCGGATAAGGTTTAGACCTGATCGACTGGGACTTGCACTTGTTGCCCGCGGGATCTCCGGTGAGATGGGCCTTGTTCCAGTGCTGATGTGACTGTTGTTGAGGTCCAGGAGTAGCTCCGTGGCGTTTGTGGCTGCTCGCAAGGTGGGAATTGAGTGGGCATGTGTGGGCAGGGGGAGATGGACAGGGCAGGACCCGTAACACAAATGATCGACAGGCGGGTAAATAGCCATGGCAATGCGAGATTTAATTCAATAGATAGGACATCATCTGCGATATTGACGCCAGTCCCAAACCACGTAGAGCCCCCCTTGATGCATGCACGACTCCCGGGCTCTCCTACTCGTCTACCCTGATTTTCATGCCAAACTCATTCAGCGTATTCACGTATTCGTCACCTAGTGTCGCAGGCGTCAAAATACCACCTCCCAGCCTCCCAGCCTCTGTCTGGTCAAGCCTCCCCCTGAGCATTAGCTTGGCAGCCGCGCTCAGCGTAATGGCTGTCGCAACATAGCCACCATGAGCGACTTCTAGATTCGCGACTACCTTTTTTCCATCTTCGGTGCAGCCTACGCCACGGTAATGCATAAAGTCCTTCTTCATGCTTTCCTTGGATGGCCCTTGGCCCGGGCTGGGAATCACCATCTTGAAGAGTGGCTCCACGACCCATCTTGTTGGGGGGAAAGCGAGTAAGATGGAGATGGAGGTAAGCACCACTTTCTGAGCGAGACCAACCAAAAAGCTTGGTGCGCGTGCGTACTCGTTGAACCGGAATCGGGGACCGTACTGCAGTGTTTCGTCGCCTGAGGATTGGTACAGACCCCATGAGCGGTGTGCAATGCATTCGTCAACGGGAGCCATCAATCCGGTGGTTTGGACACCGCCCAGCTCGGGAATCATCTTCAGGCCAACGAGACTATAAGGAAAGCTTCCTGCGGGCGGCGCAGCAACCTTGTCCGCCTTGACCGGCGACAACGAGTACGGATGCATCGATTTCGCTAAATGGCTGAGCGAATAGTTTTTAAACAGCTCAAGCATGGTAAGCGAGGTGCCGCCACTAATTCCAGACTTGAATCTGTACAGCGTCATAATGGCGCGCTCGCATGCGGCGTTGTACCGCTTGCGCACCTCTCGCGCAAGCACGTACGCCATGATGTCTGCAGGAACAGAGTCAAGACCGCACTCTGGGATGATAATGGTCTTGTTCTTTTGAGCAAGCGCATCGTACTTTGCAATCATGTCGTAGATCCAGGGCACCTCGCCCGTTGAGTCGAGGTAGTGCGTGCCGTTGTTGACGCAGGCGGCGAGGACGGGCTCGCCATAGTGCATGAATGGGCCTACGGTTGTGATTACGAGTGTAGTCTTTTTGACAAGTGTGTCGAGTTGGGATTGCTCGAGCTCGCAGGTTTCGATGGCTGGGAAACCGTCAGTTTTCCTTCCTTTCTTTTTTTTTCCCTTTCTCTCTGTCACATGGTTGTGTCACTACGGGACATTTGGTCACGTACCTGGCTCTTTGCGATCTGGCCTCAGTTCGGACAATTCCTTGACAACATCCTGTAGCTTCTTTGCATTGCGCCCTGCAATGGCCCACCTGAGGTCGTCAGGCAGATGTGTCGTGATCCATTCGGCAACGAGTTTGCCCGTGTATCCAGTGGCTCCAAGGAGCACCAACTCGTACTGGCGCGACTCTTGAGCCATTTTGCTGAAAAATCCTTTGCTTTTTTTTTCACTTCAAAACAGAAAGGCTGAATGGATAAATGATGGGAATCAAGTGGTGGAGGGAGGTGGTGTTATATCAATAGGAGCAAATTTCACATTCACGACTACGACTACCGTCATCGGACATGACCCTTCTTTTGGTATACTCTGAGGTCATGCCGAGGTAACCAGGCGCCGGCATGGGCGATGTCATCCCTTTTTTTGCAGCGCATTCTTCCCAGCAGTACTACGCAAGCAGAAAACGCAATGCCTTGTGTGAACACACCAAAGTCTAGCGACGCGATGCACGATATGTCTGTGTGCAGGACGGCTCGAAAAAGGCTAATAAGCTGAGGGCCTGTC